CGTAACTCACTCATATCCACTGCGATAATTAAACACCACCATTACCACATCACCATTATATGGCAGTTTTCACCCACCTAAAAGTAGACACATCTCGAAGTGTTTTACTAAGGTGGGAAAGGGTTATCTGCACTTCACAGATGGTAAACTCTGACACAAAGGGGCAACTGACCCAAGGTCACATTACAAAGTCAGAAGCAGAGCAAAAAACAAAACTCGGGTCTCGTGACTGCCAATCTTGGGTTCTATCCTGTGGACCATGGTGCCTCCATGAATCTATGACCACACTAAGGATTTTGGAGAAGGCCAGCAAGATGGTTCTTTGGGTCGCCTCTAACTCAAACTTAACTGTCTCATTTCTTATAGTAGGGGAATGATTTATGAGCAACCACTGCCCTTCTCTGCTGCAGGATAAATGGAGCCCAGCTCCATCTATATAGCTGCCAACACGTAACCATTTTTCAAGGGATAAATCTGAAAATAAAACAGGGATTTGATGGCTGGTAGGCCCTGCCCCCATTAGCCAGAAGGCTGTGCATAAATTCTAGTGAATTCTGTTTTCATCTCCAACCCATTTTTTAATCCAGAATGGGCAGTAATATCCATATTAACATAAGTGCACAAAATATCCATCACATATCTTTCCCCAAAGCATGGAGATTGATGTCTGCCAATGAAGTATAATTTTATTTTTATGCTTCTTTATTGAATACACTAACTTCCCCATTTGTGTGTCATTTGACACTTATCTTCTTCTCCCTTTCGCCTAACTCACTCCATCCATCTCCATATTTTATTTTGTCCTCTTTTTAATATCCCCTTTTCTCTAATTTAATTCTATTTCATATTCATCCACCTTCTGTCTTTAAACTGTCCAGGAAACCCTGAAGACCTGTGACAAAACATCATTCATGAACAATATTCAGATTGTGCCTAGATTTTACCTAAAGGCTTGTATACATTTAGTTCACAGCAGGCTGGGGTGCAACTCTACCCCATACTAGCTTGCCTCATACTAACTTTCTACGTGGAGCTTACTTTAATTTTCTCCCACTGCAAAGTGGGGTTGATCAAAGCACACTAACAAATTGTTAGTGCACATTCGTAGGGTCCACATGGACAGTTAGTGCATGGCAGACTAGTGCAAAGTAGATTCACACCTCAGCTTGTGGCAAAAAATGTTCATGTAGACAAGCCCTTAGATCAGTGGTTCTCAAACTTTTGTATTGGTGACCCCTTTCACACAGTAAGCCTGTCAGTGTGACCCCCCCCTTATAAATTAAAAACATTTGTTTATATTTAACACTTTTATAAATGCTGGAGGTAAAGCGGGGGCTTGGAGGTGGAGGCTGAGAGCTCGTGACCCCCACGTAATAACCTCACAACCCTCTAAGGGGTCACAACCCCCAGTTTGAGAGCCCCTGCTTTAGATAGATGAAATATTTAACAGCCAACATTTGTATCCTCAGAATGACTTTACTGCTAAGATATGTACGTCTTTTTTTATTTGCTAAATTCACTGACTGACAGAGGCCAACTCACCACAATCTACATCAGCAACAGTGTGGTGGGTTTGAGGTATGCTAGTTTAAAATTAATTTCACTGTTAGATCCTGTTTTGTGGCCAGAGAGGTTTGGCAAAAATCACTTATAACTTTTGAACAATGAGTTTGACATAAAGTAACCTCCTATACTTAACTGCTGGGCTGTCATCACTAGAAGAATGCATGACCCATGGTTTAAAACATAGTGGTATTTTTTGTTTCAATATTTATTTGACTCTTTCATGCTTCTGAAAGAAGAGACAGTGAGGTGTTGCATTTATCCAGAGGAAGACATAGAGCTATTACCCCTCATTAGCGTTTTCCCTTAATGTTCAAACCTTAGCCCTCCCCTAAGAGCAGGAGTAACAAACCATTCTGTCCTCAATCGCTCTTGAGCAAGTCTGATCGATGTGCTCAGCTGGAGAAATGGCAACTGTTCAAAGACTGATAAGATCAGGTAAATCGGGGTTGTGATATTGAGGAAGAGGCAGTAAAAATTAGTTTTAAGAGGCCAAACACCCTGCATAAAATTGTTTGCATGTACAATGGCCACCATCACCTAGCCAGATTTAGTTAATCTCCATTTAATACAGTATATACATTTTGGCATCATTTAAAAGGACATAAAGCTGCAGTCACTGGAAAATTACCTGGATAAGTTTGATGTTGAAAGTTGCAGGACTGAAAATAAGGAAAATACTTCTCCCTTTGAACTGTCATGAAAACTTTTTGTAAGTGATATTTCACCTGAGCCTTCGATGACCATTCTGAAAGATTCTGCTTTGGTAAAGCAGCCAGATGCAGTGACTTATATACACAGGGCCTTACACACTCTACAATTCCTTGTTCACTGAATTTAACACCTGCAGAATTCCATGTTCTGGCCATGAAATCTATCCTTTGGATGCAGCCAGGCACCTGACATTTTGTTCTTTCTGCCCTGCTGGGATCTGTCTGCAGCTTCCTTTCTGTGCTGCTCTCACCACAAGGGGAAGTGCATAAGTTGCACATTCTCCTGTCCTGGGCCCACAGAAGGAGACAGAAAGCAGGACAACAATTCTCCTGGCTTGTCAGAACTGCCCTTGCCTATTTTTAAAAGAGTGCGCTCTGGTGCGGGTGACAGTCTTGGGCTGAGCTGTGGGTGCTGAGCAGAGCTCACTCCTACCAGAGATGCGAAACATGTGACTGGGAGATCTGAACAGGGCTGCAGGGAGAGTGGAGGCAGTCAGGGACCAGCTGTGAAGCATGCAAGGCTGATTAAGGCAATCTGGGGCCCTTGGCACACTATGATAAAGGGCCCCCCCTGTGGCTTCACTCCCAAGACCCTGCTCCCTCATTTGAAGTGACAATGGCAAGAAGCCTGCTCTCAGAGAGCTTTAGCCAGCTTACACATGTGGATACTGTCTCCACAGGGACCCTAGGCATCTAGCCTTATTGGGAAAACCTCTCCCTCTTTTACAGGGGTTCCATAGATGTTATTGCACTTCCAAAGAGGACTCAACAATGTATGATGGGGGGGGGGGGGAGGGAAATCAACATATTAAGGTCAATTAACTTGCCTGTGGAACTGAAGAGTGCTTGCCATAGAATTTGGATCCAGTGCACCACAGAGTACATTGAGGCCCAGCTGATATACCTACAGCCAGATTTTCATATATAGCCTCCTGAGCTGCAAGTACAGAACAGCAGTTGTCTTCCTGGGCTTCAGTGCAGTACCCAATAGTTGGTCAATTGAACCGAGTGTGTATAATAGCACACTGGGGTGTTGAGAGCTGGGACACTCTTCTGGATTAGAAAGATTTGGTGCAATTTAGAGGGAATCTGGCTATCAGAATGATCCACTGATATTGAGCAGAGAGTCAGCTGGGCTTAGAGTATATTGAAGGCTGCAGCTGGTTTGTGTGTAGACGCTGGGGAAAAAGTCTGTGGCGAAGAAGAAGGAAAGAGGGCAATGGAAAGGAGTGTGCATTGTCCAAAGAAAGGTCCTGCCATAAGTCAGTTCCCTTTTCCCAGTTACCAAACCCTTCAAACATACACATACCAGAGGCAAACAGCCCTAATCACATACCTTTCCAGCTGCTAAACCATACCACTGAAAGTAGTCATCCTATACTCTAGTCATAGATCTCCACAGAACCTAACAGCCTGCAATTAATTATGCTAGTGCAAAACTGCAGATAGCTACATATTACCATTATCTCAAGTATGGAGAAGTTTGCAACAAAGTTCTCTTATGCTGGTGCAGAAATTGTCTCTAATGCACTCCACAGATTTTTGTAATGTACAGATGTCACGTAATATCCCAGGCTAACATTCGTACTGCTCTTTAAATATGGGCTCTATCTTGAGATGGGTTGACATTATATAATTAGTAAATTTGCATACACATTCAGAGCACAGGAGCACCTATATAATTTCTTTGTCTTGTTCTAGTTTACCATGGCTCCAGTCAAGTTACTGATCTGACTAGTGAAACGTAATTATGTGAGCTTAATCAGTTCAAAGAACAGATATTCTGATTGGAAAAAGATTAAAAAAAACTACCTGTACAGAACCTGGAGTGGAATTCATTTGATACATAGGAGAGAAATATACAAATTTCCCCAGGAGGCAAATTCAAGTGCCACTATAACGGCTCCCTTAACTGTTATGGGTAGAATTTTGCGTATTCTTTATTTCTATGCCATTTTGCTCCAACCCATTATAAAATTATAATAAATAGTGAATCCAACACTTAAAAACCATAAGCAAATCACATACTGTACATACTTTTAAAATCTTATATGAGTTAATAATATGCAGCTTACTTCTACTGTAAGATGAACAAGTTAAGTTATTATATTTAAGTATTATATTATATTACATTGTCTAGTAGAGTGGGTCTGGAATTGAAAATGCTGTTTCACTGAAACCAAAATTTTTGGTGGGAAAGGGTCAGTTTCATCAGAGTCAGAGAGCAACAGCTGAATCCTGTAATAGTTGATAGCCCAGTGGTTAGGGCACTCAGCGAGGATGTGGGAAAAGCAGGTTCAAGTTCCTGATTCAGACTATTGGCTATTCTGGTGTGGGTCTCTTTCAGTCTGTTTTTTTTTTTCCTCCACAAAAAAACCTCAATGTAGAATGGGAAAATTTTTGAAATCACAAAATTTGTCACAGGATGGGAAAACAGCTTCTGGCCCAGCCCTACTGTCCAGTGCAGGAGGTGTAACGGTTTACACTGTCCTGAAATATCTGGGTTTGACAGCAGTTCCATTTTGTTTTGTTACTTTGACCACTACAGTTGAGGCCTGTTATCAAGATGCTGTATGGGGACTCTACTATGTTTTTTAGACTTGCTGAACAAACAACAGAGTAGAATGAAAGGACTCTATGCTCCAGCACCCTAGCTAAGAGAAAAATGCCTCGAATGGGAGGAGAGGGAAGGAGAGTTGGAGAAGTTTTTAGTTATCTACTTACTGAGTCTCAGTCCCCAGTAGCATCTCCACCTTCTCTCCTGCGTGGTTGCTAAGGACAGTTAATCTGAAGAGGTGACTTGTAGAGCTCTGCCGAGAGTACAGCATAGTGGAACTGTTCTTTACGGGTGAGGAATTCAGCTCCTCACTGTCACATTGTTCAACCAACAGCTGGTCCCTCAAGGAATAATCTGTGACATTGTAGCTCTCCTCACTGCAAAACAAGGGGAAAAAAACTAACACTTTTGCTCAGAGTAAACATGTCCAGAAGCAAATTCAGGAGTAGCACCCATTTCCCAGGCTTTTCCACAGCACATAATTATTCTGACACTTTCAGCCCTTTAGCAACATTTCCCCCCCAAAAAATTTACAAAGCATCTGCTTGTCAAAGATGCAAAAGAAATTAATCTTTGCGCTTTAAGGCATTTCAGTGAGCAGCACAGTTTACACGGCTTTGACACTCCGTGGGTGATGTAAGCTTAACTTACTCCATAGCAAATGGAGAATAATGTCTTCTGGTTTATTTTCTGTAACTCTTAAGCAATACCTGACATCCAAAAGCAACTCTTTGTTTTAGAATATACTTTACTAGAAGTTGCACACTTTGTTGCTTCTGTAGGCTAAGCACACTACACACACCAGGGGCTCTTTGCATACCCCCCTCCCCAAGCTCTCTGTATGCCACCCTACCATCTACTTCTATTTCAGGGACCCCTTGCAACCTCCACCCTCATGCCAGGGACCCTGTGCACCTCCCCTTCCCCCACACCAGGGGTCTCTGTCCCCCTCATCGCCCATACAATTGTCCCTGACGCTTCCCCCCACTGCAGATCTCTGGGTGCCCCTTCAAAGCCCTCTTTCCCGCCACACCAGGGTCCCCCATTGTTCCATCACCAGGGGTTCTGTATGCCACACTCAGTCCCGACTCAGTATGCACCCCAGGTCCCCGACAGCAGGGCTCTCCATTCTCTCCCACTGCCACAGCTTTTGTTTCTGTGTTCAGCCCCCATTTCTCCCATGGCTGCATCCTCCATTCTCCCCCAACCATGCCAGGGGCTCTCTGAGCATTCCCATTCCATTCCCTTCTTCCCCCATTGTTTTTTTTCTCTCCCCTTTTCTGGCTCAGAAAGAAGTCCTTCAGTGTGTCAATTTTTTTTTAACTGTATTAGGAGGCTGAGTAAAACTAAGCGGAGCTGGAGGGTGTTATGCTGGAAGATGTTAATTGTTGCTATCTTTGATCTACAGACAATTACAAAAGTGGCTGAAGCTCTGTGTGTGCTAACCAGATACCTGGGGCACTGTGTGCCCCTCATTATTCTCATTTGGGTTGTTTTTCTCTTCTTCATATTTTCACTAAAATAGGGTTCTACTCAATGATTCCTAGGGCATTCCCTGAAATTTTGGACTTGATCAGATGCAGCATTCAAAAGTTATCACATTACAAAAACAAATAGAGAAATGCCACTGAACCCATTAAACAGAATATACTTTCCCCACTTCCATTTTCCAGTTTCCAAAAGTACAAACTCCTACATTTATAATGGATTGTGCAATATAAATAAACCTGTATTTAAAAAGGAGATGGCGGAAATGCTTTCTTGTTAAGCTTCTTGTTAATCTGCATTGTGATACAGAATGGCCTGGGAGCAATGGTAGAGTGCTAGAGGGGAAATATATAAGCCCAAGGCTAATTAAGGCAGGGTTCCCTGGAGACTAGGGAGAGTGGCTATAGGTTAATTGGAGCACCTGCAATCAATTAAGGCCCTGTCAGGAACCTAATAAAACCCCCTGCTTCAGGCAGTCAGGGAGAAGGAGAGAGGACTGGGGCTTGGAAATGTGTTGTGAGACCTGAAAGATCAGAGAACTGAAATAAAGGAGACCCTGCCCCAGCAGGGGAGGGAGACTCCTGCCCCCAGTATCTAAGGATCGAAGGTACCCACCCAAGGGGAAAGAGGGTAAGAACCCACAGGGGTTGAGAGGGGGCTAGGGCTCAGAGTGAGGAGCAAACTCAGACCCTTCCCCTGCTTCCCTTCTTTACCACCTCCCCGGGCCACTAATGGGGCCCTTGGTGCCCCAAGAGCAGGGGCAAGGGGTAGCATCCTAGCCCTGCCAAGAAAAGCGCAGGACCCACCATACTAACATTGGCCATCTTGTCACAGCATGTACAGGAGCTGGACCACAATCTATTTTTACAATGTTTCAAAACTTGCTATATGACTATAATGCCATTATGGCTTCAAGCAAATGGTTGATGACTGCTGTCACCTATTCTTCTCACCTCGTACTGGCTTGCTGAAATATAGTATAGTAACGTATATCTTTTAGACACATGATCTCTTTTTCCAATATGAGATAAATAAAAACATACTATTTATTCTAGTGAATACAAAAAACAAGACCAGTGTGTGTACTCGATAACTGCACTGAAAGTATTCAAAGACACACTGACAAGAGGTAGAGCTCAAAAGCTCCACTTTACCTTACAATGCTTATTATGAGGTGGCTTTGGGGAAGAAGGTGGGCAAGGATGTGTCATCTGAATTCTATAAATATATGTATTTTAAGATACCACTTTTCTATTTTTTTTAAGTGATACTTAAATACAATGTGTGTACCTCCCTGCAGGTTCTGAAAAAAGCTGCTAACTGACAAACACTCTTTACACCGCTAAGCACATTCCTGACAAAAATAATCAGAGGATTCTGGGCAAAAGAACTAATAAGCTATGGCTGCCTACAAATAAATACACCACAGCTGTCCGCTAACCACACACATTGGGCAATAGACATTTGGAAACAGAAGAACTCAGGACCTCTTTTCAGTCAGGTAAGGATAGGTTGCACTAGTTCAGACAGTGGTGGTGGGGGGAGGTATAGAGGGGAAAACACACACGAGAAGATGCGGTATTCCATATAGTAGTGGGTGGTGGAGCATGTGCGTGCACACACACAGGCAAGCTGTTCATTACAAACCAAGGAAGAAAACAAAATGAAGCACCGTTAGCATCTGAAGTACACTCTGAATGATATTCCAGAATTAATTGGACATGCAATAGCACTTCTATATATAATTTCTCAATTACTTTTGTTCAGGGTTACTAAAATGGAAAAAATGGATACCATGAAGAAATACAATTTTAAAAAATCTGTTACCCAAGCACCAAGACTTTTAAAAACTTACACTCTTTCTCCCTAAACAACTGTCATTCATCTTCCTAAATCTGAACTACCCTAGCTAATCAAGAATCTCTTTGCCGTGTCTTCAGCTGTTGGGTAAGAGAATGCCTGGTCAGGTCATCTTGTTACTTGACGTTTCTGTGTGCTGTCAGTAAACAGTTACTTCAACCCCTCCCAGGCTCCCATCCATTAACATTTATCTGACAACAGGTGCCTGAACTGTGGAGTCTCCAGCCATCTTCAGAAACATGCCTAAGCACTCCACACTGTGAATCCAAGCGGGTTTCTTTTATATTTGTTGTTTTAGCCAACTTATTCATATCTAATTAGTGTAAAGAAATACTAGAAAAGCCTTTCAAGGAGAAGTTCATCTTAATTACATTTCCAGTTCTTTAAATTGTTTACCTGCGTTCAGCTACCAAAACATGATCCAAGGAGCATTCGAAAAAATTTGCACTACTTACTTTGGAAACGGAATTGCTCAGCTAAAAAAAAAAAAACACAAATTGAAAGCCTTTTTGCCTTGCATTGGATAACGTGTGGATATTTCCCACAATGGTCTTACAAATGATTGTAAATTCACCAGCTGTTCATCAAGATGAGTTACTTTTAAAAGGCAGCTGATAATTACCTAACTATCAGTTTCAGTAAGCCTACTCTGGATTGTAAACTGTGACAAGACCCCCCACTACTAAAACCAGGCAGGGTCATTTTTCAGATTTATTGTCCCTCAAGGGCTTGATGAAACGAAGAAAAATCCAAAATCTGGTAATCTTCTGTACAGCAGCACAGAAAAAAATGATCCCATGGTCAACATATTTCTCAATTGTTTCTGGTTGTGCAGTAAGAAATTCTCCTTTTAGTTCAAACCAGTAGTATTGATAGTTATACTCAGGGCCAACGA